CCCCCGAGCCCGCGGTGCTTTGTCCCCGGTGCGCCGGGGGCTGCGCAGGCTCCTGGCGCGCTGCTCTGGGCTTTCCCGCCTCTTGGGCCGCAGGCATGCGGGTAACGTTCCTCCCCTGGCGCCAGGCGTTTTGCCAGGCACGTCAAGGTTTTGCTTTGTCTTTGTTGGGCTTTTTTTTTTTTTTTGCTCCTGGCTCTCTGCTCTGGGCTTTCCCGCCTCTTGGGCCGCAGGCATGCGGGTAACGTTCCTCCCCTGGCGCCAGGCGTTTTGCCAGGCACGTCAAGGTTTTGCTTTGTCTTTGTTGGGCTTTTTTTTTTTTTTTTTCCCTTTGTCCTCCCTCCCCTCGGCTGAGCTGTGGCGCTGCTGGATAGAGCTGCAGGGATGGTCTGGTATCCGTTCAGGCTGACACGTTGTTTATGCCACGACTTTGGCATAATGTACTTGAAATAATTTAAAGAATGAGCTTAATTTAGAATGCTGGCTCAAGATGACTGTTAAAGTTAATATTTTTGTTTTATTTTGGCATACTAAGTAAATTTCTTAAAACATCTATGGTAGGATTTAGAGGGAGGGCATCCTAGTGTTACCATTGAGGGCAAAAAGACTGCAAATATGGAAGATACTTCACATTCAGCAGTAGTACTGGATCTTAAGAGACTTCCTATCAGACTTGAGTTGCACTTAAATTAATCTGTTTGAAATCGGCTCTGTAATGTGAAGAAATAACTGAAAGCAGTACTAATTCTATTTGCTCCACTCTAAAAAAATACCTTTTGAAAATACCCACTATACCTTACCTCTCTTAGTTGACATCTTGCTCAAGAAAATAAGCTAGTGCTTTTGAGGAAATAAGTAATGTATATTCCAGGAGATGGTGTGAAAGTTTCTGTTGCAGTCTGATGTTTTGTATGTAACAACCTTGTGCTTTTAATAGGTCATTTACAGAATCAAAATGGTTGAAGCAGATCGTCCTGGGAAGCTGTTCATTGGAGGCCTGAACACAGAGACTAATGAAAAAGCCCTTGAGGCTGTATTCGGCAAATATGGACGCATTGTGGAAGGTAAAAAGAAGAAAATGTTTGCTATTTTAAGATACTAAAAGCAACAGTATAGCTGTGATGACTTTTTTGGCACTGATCATCTGAAATGATAGTGCTTTCATGTCCTCTAAGAAGTTCTGAGCTTAAAAGATTAAACAAGGGTTAAGTGTTGCTGCCTCATTACAGGAAAGGGTAACATGCCTTTTATTTCTACAGTCCTTTTGATGAAAGACCGTGAAACCAACAAGTCCAGAGGATTTGCGTTTGTCACATTTGAGAGTCCAGCGGATGCAAAAGATGCTGCCAGAGATATGAATGGAAAGGTAGGAATTAAGATGAAGTATATATTGCTGTTATTACTGATCAGCAATATTGATCTTCGGGGCAAACTAGTAATAAAAGTTGGAAAGACAGTGAGTTAGAAGATCCTGGAGACAAGTCATAACTTTAAGTTAAGTGAAATGTCTGTATCTCCATGAAGCTGCAATGACTCTTTCTGGTTCTGGATTTGCCAGTAGAAAGTGGAGTCTGGCTTTCAGTCAGTTATAATGTCTTTTTTTTCTTTTTCTCAGATTGGTGGTCAAGGGCTTTATAGTAGTCAGCTTTTCATTATTTCACATCTTCTGTAATGTTTTTCTTTTTGCATATTTCAATGTAGAACTGTAAATTACACTTCAGGGAAGTGACTTACCTAAAAACTATTAATGTTTCCCTTGACATGGGTTTAATGTCACTTCGCTACTTTGCTGGAATGTTGATGGTGTTGATGCTTTATCTGGTAATCTGTGGGTAGCCCCATAATTTGTGAGTTGCATCATCAATCTGCTTGGTGTATATGAGTAGCAACTTGCCAGTTGCTGTGAAATAGCTTTGCAGTTAGCAAGCAAGTGAACTTGCTTGTTTACACTCTGCAATGCAAACAATATGAGAGGAAGTAAAAATTAAATGCATATGTAATGTCTAAAAAGAAAAGCTTGAGAATTTGGAGCAGAAGTGCCAAGATAAACACCAGAGTGATTTGTCAAAGATTGTAGGCTGTTGTGGTTGTATTGGTTCCAGTATGGGAAAAACTAGATGCACATTTGCAACTTAAAGGTCAGCACCTGCTTATCTTCATAGAGGTGCTGTCTCTTTAGGTAGTGGAAGTTGTCTTCTCAGTTAACTTGAATTTCAGACTCTGGTCTTTCATGCATAACCTGGATGGTTGTGTTAAGGTCACCCTGCTTTGACCTTTTTCTAAGCAGTGTGTCTGAGATGCCATTCATGTGAGGTGAAGAAGGCTTTACTGATTCTGGTTAACACTTGGGATTTTGGTAGCTGCTTGTCTTGTTAGTGCAAGACATTGAAGTGGAAGAAAAATGTCAGTTATTGCAGTCAGTAAGTAAAGCATAACCAATATTTGTACTTTGGGAATAAGAGAGAGCTTGCTGTAGTGTTCACAATGAACACAAATAGTAACACTTTCTTGTTTCATGTTATAGCAGACTTTCTGCTTTGTGTACTTAGTTTGTGTGTGCCTCAGGACAACTTCACGATAATATTACTTTCTTCAGAGACTTGGTTCCTTTTTAAACAAGTGAGTAGTTTTTCTCAAGGTAGAGAGCGACAAATTGGGTAATGGCTGTTCTGGACCAGCCTAAATAGTCTTAAAGGTGCTCCTTGCATCAAATTAATTTCTCAGTTGTGTAGTTTGCTCTAAGTATGAAGACCCGTTTTCTTCAGATCTTCCACACTGATTCCTCTGAAGTAGTCATTACACTGAACCCTCACCTAAGGTAATTTCAAGCACCCAGAGCTAATATCAAACTGAAAGGAGTTTGGTCACTAATCCCGAGTGTTTGTGGAGTGCAGCTTTCAAATAGAAATCTGTCTGAAAACTGACCAACTGTTCTAAATCTTGAATGTTACAGCATGTGTTTGGTCACATTGGAAACACTCAGGAAAGTAATGCTTAGAATAGTAGTTAAGTGAGATTGAATGTTTGTGGCTGAAGTAATGTCTTCGTGTTCTGGAATGCACCACCTGCATCACTGTCAAGAAATGCTGGAAAGTACTGCCTTGTGGATCATCATTCTCATGGTTTGTCTTCACCACTACAAATATAAAAATACCTCTATCTGCTTTGAAGTTTGAACAGCAAAAAGTGTGTGAAAAGGACATCTCCACTCAAGATTTGGCCCAGATTGACCTACTTAACATACCTTTAGAAGCTGTTCTTCAGAGTTCCAGTTCTGTACTGGTCTAGCTTGGTTTGACCATGGATATGAAAGATACAGATGTTCATGAGGTAGTCTCTTGTCCTTGTTTCAGAAAGCATTCTGGACAGTAAGTACTGCTTGTATCTCAAAGACTGTATTCTGGATCTGACGAGTCATACTTGGGACATGCAGTGGAAAGAGACCATTGTGATGAATCAATGTGTTTTTCTGTGCATTTGGAAATCATGGATTGGAGAGCACTTGAGAATTACAGGCACCTAAGAAGAAGCAGCAGAAGCACTCTACAGACAACAGCTTAAGCAGTCTGTGAGGATTAAGACCTGTCTGCGGGGGAAGGAGTTCTGCATCATCAGTGTTCTGCTTATTGTGTCATTCCAAAGGAATTGAAAGTTGCAGTGAGTGGAAAAGGCTGACTTAGATTCTGCAAGAGTAAACTTGGGATTTTGTTTCTTACTTTGCAAATGTTCATGAACAACATGCATCAAATGTTATGCTCATTTCTGGATGGGGGAGAGAAAGGAGTTAAATGTTGGAAAATGGGACAAGCACAGACTAGTCTTAAACTTGCTGAAGATAAATTTCTTTCCTGCAGAATGAGGTCAGGAGATGATGATTTTGGAGTGGGGGTGGAGATTTTTTCGCTTAAATTACTTTCTACAGAATTGGATCAATGTTATAATGTCTGAGCAACTGAAGAAACATTGGAAGTACTTTATCATAGCAAATTATCAGCCTTCAGTTCTTTAAAAAGAACTTTAATTGCATGGTAGTGAAGTCTACATGCCAATGTCACAAAAGTGCTCTTGCACTTACCTGGACACAAGTGTGAGTACTAAAAGTTTGTAGTAGTCATTCTGTGCAGTAGGCTGTTCTTAACATCTCTAGGTTTTAAGTCCTGAGTACAAAATGGAGAATTAAAGAGAGATATGACACTAGGGGAAACACGTGGGGTAAGCCAAAGATTTCGTTCCAATGTAGACCTGCCAAGGCAGCTGGACTGCATGAAGAGGTTGGAAACAAATCCTGCAATCCTAACAACTGTCTAAACTGTATTCATTGCAACAGAAGGTTGTCTTGCTCTAATCGAGAGAAAGTCTTTCCAGTTCTTCCGGTGAGAAGCAATCCAGGATGTAGAAGCTAAGCCTGATAAGAAATTATCTCTGGTTCTTGAATATATTTGGTGAAAAGAAGCCTGCTTGATATGCCATCAAGGAACCTACAGAAACAGTGGAGTCACTGCAGCATCAACAGTCGAACAAGCCATTGGAGAGGAAAGCCCCATGTGATGTTAGGTTGCAGTTTCGTGCAAGTGTCTGTAACAGTTTCTTTGGAATACTGGATTTCTGCCCCTCCCAAAACTTTATAAGTTCAGCTTTTCTCTTGGAACGTGGAACAGTTGCAGGACAGTCTAACCTTGTTTAAGATTCCATGGCTGACCTTGCAAAACTGTATAGGTTGTTCATGCCACATTTTATCATTGCAAATCTATTTTTAAATGACTCAGTATCTTAAATTACTTTTCTGCTTTTTAGCACCAGGGTGACTCCACTTCATGGTGCCCATATCATACTGAAAATGCTACTGTAACACTCTAAATCAAGGTTATAACAGAACTAATGAGTGTTTTGTTGACAGCTGGTGCTTTGGGCTCATTGAAAAAAAAAATTCCTTAAATGGCTTGTGTGAATTTTACATGTTCAGTGATATGAAACTTACCCTCTGACCTAAGAACCTGTAAAATGGAGTTGTCCCCTTAGCTTTAAAAGAGGACAGGTATCTTCTATTAAAAAAATCTTTGACCTAAAAAAGGAGAATTTAGAATCTTGGACATATCTTATGCAAGCAGTCTTAAAAAGGTGGTTTTGAAAGAAAGCTGAGCTTTTGCCTAGGTAAGATCCAAGGCAAAAGGAAATAGGAGGAGAAATGGCAAATAAAAATATAAAAAATACAATAATTTGGACCTAGCATGAAGGTTTTCAGAACCCATGCTAGCAGAAAGGGATGGTACTCAGGAATCAAACATGAAAATGGGGACAACAGTGGTCATGATGGCAAAGCTTGAGGCTTCAAGCCCACTGTTCCTGTTTTGAGATGGATAGCTGAGACAGATGAATGATGATGAGGAGGAAATAATGATACAAAGTAAGAAGTTCCAGTGATGAGAGATTCTAATGCTTGCACCTGGAATTTTCAACTTGTCATGCCAAAAAGTGATTTGAGGAACCTTCCATAAGTAATACACTTCTATTAAGGCAAAGCCAAGACCAGTATCTTGCCAGGATTTCTTACCATTTTTCCTAAAATGGATCAAGCTGGACCTGTGGATATACACATAGGTTTTTCCAACAGTAGCTATAAATATGTATGGTGGCAGAATACATAAGTTACTTAAGTGGATGATTTCAGAGAAGGCTTGATTTCAGTGGATCACAAAGATGCAGTGCCTAAGTAAACAACTGTCACCAGTTCAGAGTAAGACATTATTAGCTGTTGTGCTCTTGTTAATTTATTGTAGCAAAGAAGTGCAATAAGCAAAACTCTCTGCTTGTGTAATTAATTAGTTGCCCTAGCAGAGTTAAATGTCAACTGCAAAAAAGCAAATAATCCATATTTGCCAGGATAATGTGCAGTAGCCTAACTTCAGTAGAGCTTTTAATCTTGGCTCTGCTGTAATTACCAAATCTGTGGTGTCTGAAGTATTATATAAAAATGTGATTCATTAGGTTGACTCTTCAACACCTGTTCATGCTTGAGGTGTAATAATTGGCTGCAGAGTTCTGTTAATGCAGGTCTATATAGCAGAAAAATCTTAACCTTTTTTCCCACAAAAAAAAACCCACCCCACAAAGCACCTCTGCTCTGGAAAAGCAAGTAGTAGAGTAAATTTTGACAGTCACCTTTTTTGAAAACCCAGCTTGAAACAGTAGAAAAAAGGTGTGAATTCTCATACCCAGTCTGCTTTGTAGATGCTGAAATCACTTCTAAAAACTTCAGCGATCACCGTTTTATCAGGACATCAAGAAAATGTGCTAAACGGCCTCCCCATTGCCAGAAACCCCAACTGAAGCTAAGATATCTTCAGCTTAACCCTGTAACTACTGGTGCAGTCCTAGTTTGGTACAAAAGTCCTTGGCAATTGAAAGTAAATTGGAGATCATAAATCATGGTTCATTTACAGAATAAATGACATGGGGCTGCCGTAATCATTGGACACTTGTGTTTTCACTGAAAGTCTTTTCTGATGCTGCTCTGTATTTTTTTTCATCAATACCACAAGAATGAAGTACTGTAGAAATTAGGCCCACCATGCTGCTGAGTACATGGGGACTAATACTGAAGACTGAAATCAGTTCTAGAATTGCTCTAACTTTAAAAAAATGGAAGCCCTGTATTAGTGACGCAAGAGGGGCTCTTAATATAAGAAATGCAAAAGTGACTGAGCAGTAAGTAAAGCAGCTTCTTCTTTAGTCATTAGATGGGAAAGCAATTAAAGTGGAACAAGCAACCAAGCCATCCTTTGAAAGTGGTGGTAGGCGTGGGCCGCCACCCCCTCCACGAAGCAGAGGTCCTCCCAGGGGCCTTAGAGGTGCAAGAGGCGGAAGTGGCGCGAGAGGACCACCTTCAAGAGGGAGTCACTTGGGTATGTATTTACCTCTCATTATATACTTGGACAACACACAAGACAATACCATTGGAAGATGACAATAATCCTACTGGAAAAAAAAGTCAAAACAGCCAAATAGTGCACTCCTTGTTCTATATTAAAATGATGAAATATGATCTCGGCAATTTAGTCAAATTTTTGTTAGGCAAGTACACCTTAAGAAAAGGCTTTCAAATATGAAGATACCCTTCTACAACTAACACTTCACTTGACTTTTGGCTATGAAAGAAAAGCAAAACTCCTACCCTGCACGTGAGAAAGGAAGCTTTCTGGTATTCAAGTTGAAAAAGCGATTCTCTTCCACCAGGGAAAGGGAACTACTGCCTTGCATTCTTACTGGCAAGAGGTCTAAACTTAGTAAATTCTAGGACTGATCCTTCCAGATCATAGTGGGATAGGTATCTGAAGTAGAAGGATAGTATGTTACTTGATACTGGATATTCTTTAAATTAAGACCTAGCTGCTTATTCAGAGACTTCAGTATCAAAACAAAACTTGCTTAAAAGAAAAAACAAGCAGCTCCTGCAGTAAACCAGTAAAAGCTGTAATGCAGAAAAAAGCCCTGGAAATAGTGAAAACTCCTGTCTTGAATCAAGAGTGTGTAGTAGGTTCTACAGGCGGTAGTGCCTCTGTTCCTTCTCTGTAGGATCTTATCTAGTACATCCTCCCAGGTGACTCTTGTCTTCTGAGAACAGTAACTTATTGAGCATTTAAGCTGTAACTGATGGCAGATAGCAGCTGTCTTTCTCCCTTGTGTCACATGCTGTGGCTTATAAAAGACAGTTCTTGACAGGCATTTAGGCTATGTAAAATTTAATTTGGTGGGTGCTTAATCTGGCAGTAGCATTCTGGTAGTGGCCAAAACACAAGGGAAGGCCTTGATGTATAATTTTCGAAGTTTACTTCTGATCACGTAGTGGTAATAACAGTGCCTATGTTACTGTAGTTTAGGCTTTAGGGGCATACAGGTGAATATTGCAGAAATAACGAAGTTGGTTCATGGCTTACCTTCTAGGGTCTTCTCGAGGGCCACTTCCCATGAAGAGAGGTCCACCTCCACGAAGTGGAGGCCCTCCACCTAAAAGATCTGCACCTTCAGGACCAGTGCGTAGCAGTAGTATGGGAGGTAGAGGTAAGGACTTCCTGAATTACTTTGTTGCTTAGTCAGCTGTAGTACCTTAGCCTTTCTTCACAAACTGTTGAAAATAATTTATTCTAATTTAAATCTGTGGGGCAGCGTATTGTTGTTCTAATCTGTTGCTGTTTTGTAGCTGTTTGGAAAAATTGGTGTGATTCAATGAGTTGTGTTCCTGCTTGTGTTGCTTTAAAATGGTATAAGCAGAAGTATAAAGTATTATAAATGTAGGCTACAGAGGTATGTTTATATTGTTATAAACAGGCTGCTGATACTTGAGTGCCTTGAGGACTCTTCTGTGTGGCAAAATGCTAATTAGTTTAAAAATGTCAACTGTTTCTCTTAAGCTCCTGTATCACGTGGAAGGGACAGTTACGGTGGTCCTCCCCGGAGAGAACCAATGCCCTCACGAAGAGATGTCTACATGTCTCCAAGAGATGATGGCTATAGCACTAAAGACGGGTACATCTAAAAAATAATTTAGTTTGGCTTTTTTGTGTTCTTCAGAGAAGAGCTTCTAGTCCTTCAGGTTTGAGGTGTGACCTATAGCTAACATCTCAATTCTTGTTTGCAGTTACTCAAGCAGAGATTATCCCAGTTCCAGGGATACACGGGACTATGCACCACCTCCACGAGACTACGCATACCGTGACTATGGTCATTCCAGCTCACGTGACGAATACCCCTCTAGAGGATATAGGTACCTACTGTTGGATTTTTCTCCCTGTTGCTTCATTCTTGATGTGATCCTGCTGATTTGTACTAAGTCTTAGTAGTCTTTCCTCCTATAGTGATCGTGATGGATATGGTGGTGGACGTGACAGAGACTACTCGGATCACCCAAGTGGAGGCTCCTACAGAGATTCATATGACAGTTACGGTAAGAAACCATTTTGAGGATCATGTAGTAATTTGCACAAGTGTCATAAAACCTGACTTTTACTAGGTTGCTCATGTTTAGGGGGAAAGTGGCACACTTTTTTTCCCTTGCAGTGGAAGTGTTGTTGGTTATCATTTGATCATCCTTTTAAATAAGCTCTAAGCTAAAGAAGCAAAGTCTACAGTTAAGAATTGCAACTATCTCTGGAAAATGTGGCTGAGTTTCTTCTCTAAAATAACAAGCTGTTCTGGAATACCCAGTAAAGTGCCTGCCTGAATAAACACCGTCTTCATTTCTTCAGTCTTTAAATCCACTCACTGCTTGATACGCAATACCCACATAAAAATACCATTAACATGGCAGATTATATTAAGAACATCTCCATACATACAGAAGGGTAGCAGTAAACATTTAATACAGCAATTCTATAAATTCAGATTGAAATTGTGATATATAACTTATGGTGTTGCCATATTACCTGACCATTGACCCTGCAGGTAACTCACGTAGTGCTCCACCTGCACGAGGGCCCCCGCCATCTTATGGTGGAAGCAGTCGGTATGATGATTACGGCAGCACACGAGATGGATATGGAAGCCGAGAAAGTTACTCAAGCAGCAGAAGTGATGTCTACTCAAGTGGCCGTGATCGTGTTGGAAGACAAGACAGGGGTCTTCCCCCATCCATGGAGAGGGGCTACCCACCTCCTCGTGATTCTTACAGTAGTTCAAGCCGCGGAGCACCCAGAGGTGGTGGCCGTGGTGGAAGCAGATCCGATAGAGGTGGAGGCAGAAGCAGATACTAAAAACACTCTCAAACTTTTGGACCAAGACAGATTACTTCTCAAAACAAATTGAAAAGTGGAAGTTATTCTATCTTTACTACCAGAGGACTACTAAAAAGAAAAGTTGTTTTTACCTTTTTTTATTGTTGCCTGTTAAGTTTTCCCCTCCATGACTTTTATGCTTTTGTGAGGAAAAGTTAAACCAATGTTTAATTTCATTTCAAAATTGTTAACATTTCTTTCAGAAAGCAGATGTTAAATGTATAAAACTTGAGCTGTGTACTAGTGTTGTAATTTCAAAGTAAAGTTTCCCTGAAATGCCACACTTCCATCTGATTTTCCTCATGAGTGGAACAAGCAGTTCATAAATTCTTCCACACAACATCCGGCCATCTAACATGGAGATGGATTGTTCTACATGTTCAGCATCTAATTCTTAAAAGTATTGCTTGTGATTTGGAGGGTGGTGGGGATATTCCACACAAAGTTGAGTTTTGCCTAGAATTTGAAGTCAGTCACAGTGTTTCCAGTACAAAATGCCTTCAAATCCTTGTGTAAAGAAAAATGAGAGGATATTCACTTAACCCAGAAAAGCAAGTGGATAATAGTACTTTCTGCCTTCTTCCTGTTCCATGGGGAGTTTGAAAAGATCTCCCCTCCAAATCATGTACATGTAAGTCAGCTACAGAATACTGTAAAAATAAAAGAAAAATTGACCAATTCCATCAAAGAAGCTGCAAAATGATGCTTACTCACACTGTTTCAAATTTTTGCAACTCTGTAGTGTTTCACTTTTAAAGGAACATCTTTGATTCCAAAGGAGAAAATAAGATAAGCAAAGAAGTCTTTCTCTCCAACTTCTCAAAGGCTTATGGCTTCCTAAAAACAAGTGAATCTTTCAGCATTCCACAGCTGATTTAAAGCATCTAATGCCTGTGAAACAGCAAAGATGGTAAGCAAAGCAAACTAGTTTTTCAGTCTAAGTCAAAAATGAACCAAGTTACCTTCCTCTAGTACAGTAAGACAAGCTGCACATTATGGCAAGAGAAGTGCTGTTTAGATAAAAAACCAACAGAAAACAAAACCTAAAACTTCAATACATTAGAAGTTCTCCAAATTCAAGATTTCTTCTTGCATAAAAGCATATATGGCACTAATTTTGAAACTAAAGATACAGTGCAGCTCACTGTAGACAGTATTGCCAAGTAGGGTTGGGAGGGGGTATTTTTTGCCAAGTATCTTTCAGTGAAGATGCTTAATGAGGCTGCATATGCTATATTAAAACCTTGTGAAATCAGGAATTGGTTTAGATTGACAAAGCAACTCGGCAATTAGGTTTGAAGCAAGTCATTGCAAACTTGACGTTTAGTTGGATGCCTGACTCTGTTTGACACTGCGTTACAGGGATATCTAGTACATGTGGCAGAACCTGTGGCAAGTTGTTATGGCTCAGGTAAAGCCATGAAGTTGAAAAGATGCTGTTGAATATAGTAGACATGAAGACCTCCAACTAAAAAAAAAAAGCACGACCCCAAAAGCTTTGTACTTCTGTGTAGTCCTCAGTAAATTTTGTCGTTCAACTTATGGATTTAACATGGCAGTGCACCATTGAAAAGGAATGAGAATCCATAAGCCATGCAACCTGTCACTAAGCCATTCCAGTCTATTCCAAGCCAGTGAATCCTCCACCACTTAAAAGAGAAGTAGTAAAACTTGGAACAGAATAATCTGCAAACCCAAACTTGTGCCTTTTTTGAAATGGGGGGAAGCACTATAGGTTGACTTGTACCAGAAAATGTTCTGTTCTCAATTTGTTGTATCTTTTTTTAGTTGCAGGGTGATAACTTCTGGAACATACGAAGGAAGTAACGGTGGTGCATCTCTGCTGATGGTGAAGATGAGTGGTGTCTGTACCAATACATAAGGTAAGCATTAAGCTAGCATCATAGCTGGAAGGAAGATTTCTGGTGGTTCTCTGTTTATAGAATTAAAATGGATATTCTTGGTGGCTAAATGAACTGAGTATTTGAATTTTGGAGGAGGAGGTTTAAATAGGAATGACATGTTTCTCATCTGGAGAAGTTGGCCCACTTTGGACATGGCTGAATATAAAATACAATTACAGATGCCATTCAAATCATGCTGCAGAGAGTACTTTGCTTAGGAATCTTCCTAAGACCAGACTAAAAAAATCTGAATTGGAATAGTAAATGTCAATTCAAATGTTCAATCAATCTTGTTAAGTGTGAAGAATATATAATCTAATTATACTGAGCATAAGCTTTGATTAGGAAGTAGGCTCTGCAGAGGCCCTTGGATTAAATAGAAAACATGGAGGCATCTTCAGCATGATGAAAAACCTTGTAGGTCTGTTGCGTTCCATGACTTTAAAGCCTACCTTATTAAAATTTTTCAAGTATGCTTAGAAGCAGCTGTCTTTAGACTTTATGACGTAATGACCATCTCATTTTTTTTTCTCTGGTAACTTGCTGGGAAACAAAATAGTTGTAGTGGCAGTCATGTTAATAAAGGTGTTGAGAAAACTTTATAGTAAATAATTTAAAAAACAAAGACAACTTCTGATGAGTGCAAAAAGCTGTGAAAATAATATAATACAGAGTGAAGGATAAGGATAAATCACTTCCAAGGGAAATATGTAAGAAGTATGTGTACTTTTTATGTAATTTTAAAAGTATTTTTCAAAGTATTCTTTAACTGTAAGAGCATGTTTTGCTGCTAGTTTCAAATACTGCTTTTGAGAACCAACTTGGAAATGGTGAACAGAAAAAGCTGTAGTTGGTACAGTGTTGTTCATCTGACATGGTCACTGATTTCAGGGCAGTTTCATTTTGTGTGAAGGATAGATAGAGTCTGTTGCACACTCTGGTATTTGTAACCTCATTTGAATTACAGTTTATTCTTTTTAGTGTGTCAGGAACAGCAGCTAAGTGTCTATGCAATCCTTTTGTCAGAATATGCCAGGAATATTTTGTAAATGCTTTAGATAAATTGCTACTCTTGATAAAGAAGAAAAAATACAATTTAATTTCAGGGTATTGGATTGTGTTTCAGATAAAATATAACGCATCATGGATATTTTTTGTTCTAAGGGTACATAAAAAAATAAACTAAAAGCTGCTACCTGACCAGCTTTTTTTCTATCACTAGATAAAGTTTCAGCCAACGAAAGAAAACTTGTTACTTTCTCTATTTTCGCATTCCTCTTCACTGAGACTGTTGAAATATTTAAATCACAAATGCTACTGGAAACTACTGTTTGAATACTGTAAAGACTAAAAAGCCGTAACCTTTTTTTTGTTCAGAAACCACTTTTCATTCAAAAGTCGCTGTCAGTAATATGGCACCAAAGTGGACTAGGGAAATATGTGTAAAGTTAAGCTTTTCTCCCTTGCTTCCTCACCAACCTGCAAAAAATTAGCAGGATTCAGTTTCTAAATTTACCCTTTAAGGCTCATGCAAATCAGGAATCCTCTAATAAAGAGAGAAAACACTGTCTCTAAAATACAGTATCATATGTGACTTTAAAACCTTTTAACAATCATTTATGTTGTGTCAGTGTTTTAAGCTTTTTTAAAAGTCTGTGCTCTGTTAGCTTCTATTCTCTCTATTGCTGGGAAGCAGAAGGTTAATTACTCCTTGTGAGTGAAGAAGCTTCTCTTGGAAAAAATAGTGGTTTTTAGTTCAGCGTGTGTGTTTTATCACTGGTGGTAGTGGGCCATGTTGTAATTAATAAAAGTATTAAAGACAAAAGCACACTCTGCAGCTTATAAACATTTCCAAATTCTTATAAGGCATGGTGACAGTGTTACTTTAGGGAGCTGTAAAAAGAACAGCTGGCTACATGGCAGGAAAGGTAACACTAATTGTAAGAAATCAGGATGTAGTTGTACTAATTTAACAAACCATTCACCTTGATCACAAGTTTTATTTAATTAATAGCACATAATTACATGGAAGATTAGTAGCAGTGTGTATACCAGTTTATTACAGGACTCCTGAGTATGATTCTGAGATACTCAAGGGCTAGTGGGATTTTGCAGTAGGCAAGAGTTTGGAGTGGGATATGCACAGAACTTAGAGGCTTTACTTAATACTTGCTCTAAAGACAATGTTGTACAAGTGTGCATTGATATAAGTAATCCTTTGATTGGTCTGATAGTTGTAGTTAGCTTTTGGTATATTTTCATACTGTTGGGACAGATTGAATATAATCCAAATGTGTACACGTTGTCTAAATAAAAACAATCAACTCGTGATTTAACTTTCTGGTTTGTCTTTTGGTTTCTGAGAGAGTAGTAACTTGCATTTTCTTTTTCCAGTTATGGTGGCCAGAAGAAAGCAGTGCAGCAGTGGATATGCGTTGGAAAATTGAAGGATAACAAAGGGCAACTGATGAAGCTTTGCTTTTGAAAGTGGTGTTACCCAGTATTTCTTTTAGGAGGACTATGTTACCATTCAGGAATTGCCTTTGAAAGCAGCACTACTAATCTAATTTGATAAAGAAAATTTCTCAAGTGGAAGTCAGTTGCTGTCTGCCATAGCTAACCTCTTCCAAGAGTCAGGAATGAGGGCTTTTATTATCCAGTGTGCCTGAATTGGTAGATTGCACCAGAAAAATACTTTGGGGTTGTCCTTTACAGAGGGTGCTTACTGTTGATGCTGAAAACAACTTGTTTTTGATATATTTCCATCTCACGTGTATGTGGATGTGCCAATGAGAGAGGAATCCTCAGGCACCGGTTATAATGTAGAAAACTGACTTAAAATTGACAAAAGTATTAAAAGGCATTGACAGTAAAGTTTATATTGACTTCATCTGTGGTAGACATAAACTGATCTTACATAAACAGCTAACACTCGGTTTATAATGAGCAGCTAAAGAAGAAACAGAACGGATACCTTGTCTAGGGATTTAAAACTACCTTTGAGTTTTGGGATTAAAGTGTAACTTTAAACTTCAATTATGGACAGCATATTCAAGGAGTAAGTCAGCCTGTATATAGCAGATGGGCAGAATTGCAGTATTTCCCAGGGCTAATAAATTATGTTAAATGCATTATGAGGTTTGGTTTGGTGTTTGGTTTGTGGTGTTTTTTTAAAAATTAAAATACCTATTACTCAGACACTTGCATGGTAGAAAGATTACTAGTGTTACATATTAATGGAGTTTTATTGTTAAAAAGTGGTCTCTTGAGAGACTTTCTGCTAGATAATATGCCATAATATTAAGATACTCCTTTTTCAGCAGTAGTTTATAGTCTGGGTACTGCTGTTTAGGCTAGAACCATTACTTTAACTAAAATCTAATGCCAACATATGAGCTATCATGCAAAAAAAAGATTTATATGTGCCTGAAGTGCTCAATAATGAGAATGTATCACCAGTATGAATTAGCTTGTACTGACTCAGCCTTCATAATTGTAAGTCACTACTTTAAGGCATCAGCAGATTCTGCAGCAGAAAAATGGTGCAGTGGTGTTATTTGTGTTGGGTGTTTTCCCTCTATGCTGAAAAAATGAGCAAGTTACATAAAAGTGAGTGACTGAGGAGAATGAGTCTTGAATGTTTGCTGAACATCTGAATGCTATTCTTATTCCTGTTACCATGTTACTGATGTATCATCAGAGTCTTTTGATAATTGGGTGTAGACCATTCCCCCTACCTTTTTAATTTTTTTAATCCTGCTGTGCTAGATGGTCATCACTGGTGGAAGTCTGGCTGCAAATCAAAGTGTTTGTAACTTGGGGGTGGAGGTTGACTGTGCAAGAGATGATTGACAGATCATTTGATTTGTCGACAAATAACCTGAGAAGGTCTTTTCTGAGGACCAGACCAGATTCATAGCCTGGGTTTGCTGCAGGATTAATTTGTCAGGGGAGGTTGATGAACAAGCTGGAATGCTTTTAGGTGGGTCTTTTCTGAAAGAAAGATTGTCCTTGAGGTGATCAGTGAAAATGCTTTAAATTTTTGGGCTTTCTGAATATGCATGTCTCCAGATCACCCTTCCAAGCTGTTGCTAATTGTTGAAAATGGTAGTATTTTCATTTAATAGTAGTTGCAGCCATGAACACCTACGTGAGTGCAACAGCGCATGTGAAATAGTCACAAAACTAAACCTGCCTGTCTACAGGAAAAAATGTTTGCTTTAGAGGGCAGAGTGGGTGAAGTACTCTTGTGTTCAGGTTTTTAGCACTGAGTTCAGTGAAGCAGGTGTGTTAATTTTCCTATGTAGAAATACTTCTCTTGCTCTTTACATCAGAAACTAGTGTGTTCTGATGACTGAATTGGATGTCTTCTATACACAAATGATTGTCCCCAGTAGATAAGTGAGGATTGCCAGCTGACTTGCCTAGCACAGATTTGGAAAAAGCAAGCTACTAAACTTAAGACTGCAAGTGCTCACTTCTACAGAATAGTAGTCCTCATGAGAACTACAGAAAGGAAAAAACCTTCTTGTAATTGTCATAAATCGGAA